AGTTAGCTAATGAAGAACGAGTGCCACGCCAACTTGATTTAACACCATACGATGATACGGCAGTGAAGATTCTGGTGGATTATCTGAACGACGATAAACAATTCAATGTTAAACTCACGTTTTATGCGCTCGCTGATTTGCTCGATTTGTCATTATCGCTACAGATCACTCAGTTGATCGATCAACTCAATGAGGTAGACGAATTCTCATTTGACCGAGTTCCTTGGAATTGTCAACGATTTGCGATTTAAATGATGATTGATAATGTCGATTTTATAGACGGTGCTGAAGTTAGCGTGGCAATCCACAGATGCCCTCCTACAAGCGTTAATAATGTTGGGCTCAGAGCGTTTCATCAGTGCTGCTGTCAAGATTCAACCTGAACTTGAAGCAATGGCCGCTCAATTGTTCCGTAGAATTGCCAAACATCGAATGCTCTCAATAATATCACCAATCATTTTTGGTAATATTATCTCCAGGTAGCAATATCAGGGTTCACTGAATCTATCATATTCATCGACCCATCAAATTCGATCCTAATTAATTTAAATAAAATCACGAACAAAACTATAGGCTGCACAATGAATGACAGAAACTGCTGAATGTGATTCAGCAAGGCTTCAATTCGGCAAGACTTCAATCATTTTTTGTTCAAGTCGAAAATATATCAAATTGTTCAGATCGCTCATAAAAATTATTCACAGTATCATCAATTTGATGGGCAAGTCGAAGTAAATTGTCCACGCACAAGTTATTAGTCCACTAAGCTTTTGACAACTTTGGCCATTTCAAGAATGGAATCGTGAGCGCAATGAAAAGTTTCAGATGCGATCTGGACGTTGAATCCGAAATGGATGTAGTTGACGCTGGACTGGTGTGGTGTTGGGGTCAAAAAAATCGTTTAGAAGCATGCAATCTGGTATTCTCAAGGATTCGCACACTGTTTCTTTCAGTTGGTGATAAGGCAACAATTCGACAACGAATCATTGAACTACCTGACGGAGAAAAGGTTTCAATCAGTACTTCAACTTAAGAATAAGTCAGCTATTCTCAGTACGATAACCATTTTGATAACAAAACTTATCGTTTGAGGTGCTTTCACTGGTTTCATCGCTGCTTTCGAGTGGAAACGGTCGCAGATGTTGCGTTATAAAAGAACATAAGAGACGGCGACACGTCAGATGTTCTATACCCATTATAAATCGAGACAGATCCATTGACATGGCTAAATTACCTTTGTAAGTCTCCAAAACGTTGAAATTTATGCCTTTCCGAAGCGAAATGAATCAATATAATATTCGAGTCGGCTGACTTTTCAAACTGACCAATTCCTGCGACCATAATTAAGAAATCCTCATGAGATTCAATTCCATTAAGCATTCGACTGAATGCGACTTAGAAAAGCCGAATGAGAGGAATTGCCTCTGCAGTACAACAAAAAGAACTCCCACAAAAAAGCTATCCAAATCAGTTGATCAATTCATTGCAATCCACCAATTCCAGATCTGCACCAGATAGACTGCAAAAATCAAGATATGTTGTCGATGGTTTGTTTTAAGAATACTGATCACTTAATAAATCACTTAGTCAG